GAAGGACGACGTACGTAACGAAGACGTACTAACTAAGTAAGTACGTACACTATACGTACGAACGAAGAGACGACACTCTATGTTGTTTTACTCTCTCTCTCTCTCTCTCTCTCTCTCTCTCTCTCTCTCTCTCTCTCTCTCTTTGGGTTTTTACCTTGTTTAATGGGTCTGCGTTTTTCTTTTGCAGTATATCGCCAGCATTACCCAAGCACTGGTTTATTGCCATGAGAAGCATGTGATTCATCGAGATATTAAACCAGAAAACCTTCTGGTGGATATGCAGGTAACACCACTCTATATGTTTAAGAGATCTTGGGTTTATTTTATTTCTAAGCTCAAAATTAAGTTTGATAACTTTGATTCATAAAAAATAAAAAACTAAATCTCAATTTTGTCTATGAAACAAATCATCCACGACTTATCGATCAAAGCATGTTATCTGTGCTCAGTTTCGTATTAGAGATAAATTCTAAATAATATTTATTAAATAACTAGGGGCCACATTCTTGAGGAATCTTGCCTTATCTCCTTGGGAACCCAAAAATCAAGATTTATTAAGAGCATGGGGAAAAACAATGCAACTGAATTTGATTTAGATATAGTCTATCCTTAAGTTGTCTGCTAAAGTATTAGAATCCAGGTTTATTGTGACTCTCTGTGACCCAGTTGCAGATAATAACATATCAGTGGCAGACTAGATCTTTAGTTCATGATTTTGGAGAACTGCAGTTTTTTATTTGGGAAAAAAGAGAAATAAGTATGACTGGGCTGCCCTTGCATTATAGTCGAGTTTTTCTTTGCTTCCCCCCCCCCCCCTCCTTAATATTTGCCTGATAATAAGTACTCAAAGGGAGCTTTTGAAATTTAGCCACCCTATATTGTACAATTTCCATTCCACACACCAATGCGATTTACAACTTTTTCCAGAGCAGAGAGAACTTCATTGCCAAATTTGGTAGTTGTGTATTTTAATTTATTTTATTTTATTTCAAGTCTTGTTAAGTTGTTGTTTTGCAGGGTCAATTGAAGATGGCTGATTTTGGATGGTCAGTACACTCGAAAACTAAGAGGCATACCATGTGTGGAACTCTGGATTACATACCCCCTGAAATGGTCGAAAACAAGGCGCATAATCACACTGTGGATAACTGGAGCTTAGGCATTCTGTGCTTTGAGTTCCTCTATGGATATCCTCCTTTTGAAACAGAGAGCCAGAATGATACTTTAAGGAGGTTAGGAACACACATTTCTTCAGTTTCTCTTATCTTTTTTATTCAATGCTTCTTGCACTTAATGAAAAAAATTACTCTCTTGTGCAGGATTATGAAGGTTGATTTAAGCTTTCCTTCCACTCCATTGGTTTCTCGAGAAGCAAAGGATCTTATTACTCGGGTAAGTCCATTGATGCCCTTTACTGAAGAAGATATGCGCGTCCATAGTGAGGTCATTTTGGTTGTAGCTTAGTTTGGCTTCTATTTGTGCAGCTTCTGGTGAAGGATCCTTCAAAGAGGCTTCCCCTGCAAAAAATTCTTGAGCACCCATGGATTGTTAAAAATGCAGAACTCATCAATTCATCATGATTTGACAGACTTCAAAGAGAAGCACTGCAAGTGTTTTTGCCTTTTTGCATGGAAGACTGGACTATTGGTGCCTTTCTTTTGCACCAATTCAACGAAGATTGAATTTCTTACATCATCTATGTATGGCATTACACAGTGAAAATTCACTGAAGAGCGTATTTCTTAGTATCTGTCATCTGTAGCATTAAGAACCATTTGAAGTTGGAATTGAAGGAAAGAGATAAATCTTGAAGAAGAGCTACAAGCAGGAAAATATTTAGAGATGAAGCAAACGTTTCTTAGTGAGTCTGAAATCACTAAGTTTTGAAAAAGAGCTACAAGTAGGAAAATATTTAGAGATGAAGCAAGCGTTTCTTAGTGAGTCTGAAATCAGGGAGAAGGAAGCATGAGGTGACTTGTAAATAGTGAAACTCTGTATTGTTCTCTTATGAGCATTAAAAATCCCAGCATTTCTATTCACTTCATATAGACTAGTTTGTTATTACTTTATTTCTTTCAGTATACTCCATGCACGATTTATAGTTCACTCCATGATGTTTCACTACCACGCGAAAAGGAAAAGCAAACTCAAAAACTTCACTTTTTTATATGTGTGTACGTTTGTTGAGCCAAAGCTGAAATAAGAAAGGAAATTCCATGGGAACAACAAATAAGAATCTGAAAAACAAAGTTGAAAGAAATAAAACATAAAAAAAGTTCAAATGCAGACAATAGAAAAGAAGAACAAAAAATGAAGAAGCAATTAAAAGATGCAAACGTAGAAAGGAAAACCCCAAAAAGAATGCCAAAAGCTACTTACTTTCCATTTCCAAATATTTATGGTAGATGACCATAAATAAAAAGTACTTGATCCATCTTTCCAAATCCACATGGTAGATGATCATAAATAAAAAATAATAGATGGATAATTGGTATGCTTGTGTAGATTTAGATATTATTAGTTTTTAATGGTGTAATGCTTCATTTTTTTTCTCCTACATGTCTGTCCTGATCTGTAAAACCAGTCAGCACAGTTTATTGTTCAACTAGCAGCAGAATGGCAGATTATGGTACTTCAAAACATCTCCTACTAGTTGCGCGTCCTGATGATGTTGTGAGAAAACCCATATTAGCTCCATGGCTATGCTCAGTTATCCATGTTCCCCGAATAAGAAGAAAATATTAGGTATGGGTATTTCTGCTTCAAATTCAGGAGTTCAGCATTGGAAAAATTTTATGTAGTGTTGGAACATCGAGCCAAAATCAAAGACAGTCAAGCTCTTAAATTCATGTATCTAGATTCTGAGGCTCATTCTCTGGTCATCTTCTTGAATTTCTCTCTAATATACACTTGCCGAAGGGGATCTGTATTTTCTGCTGTTTTTACTTTTATGGAACCATAGAAGCTGATGACATGCTCTCATAAACATCAATGAAGACAGAATGATCAAGCATTTGTAATAAAGCAAAAAGGTCCTGAATTTCTCAAAAACTAACAGAAAATTAATGAATGAAAGTTTATTTATTTTCTTTTTTATGCGTGTTCTTTTGAGGTGACTATCTATTCATTATCCATATGGTTCTTATGTTATTTCTATTTTCAAAACTTGTCACATGTATTTCCATTCATCTAGTTAAGAAACCAACTTAGAGAAAAGTGTTTCTAGGGAAAGTGACAAGCTATGAAGAGAGCATGAAGTTTGAATTCAATAGAAGTTGGGTACAACTGACATAATTCCTTCATCTGGCTCATCATTCTTTCAAGATTAGTCTAGTCGTTGCAAAAACCGAGGTTTTTCTCATAAAATGTTGTCTTCATTTGATAGAGAGCTTCCCAAAGAAGCTTGGGATCTAACTCAATTTTACAAGGGCTTCACATAATGACAGCCCAAACAATAACAATGATGGTGAGGTATCAGGTAATGAAATGAATTTGGGGAGACAGTAACAAAGGATATCTTTTCTTGTAAGTTATTTTTCCTTTTTTATCTCCTCTTCTTCGCTTTTTCACTAATATTTACATTTTACCTTTCAGTTATTCTTCAGCTTCAAAAGCTCCAAATGCATTTTTTCATTTGTATTAAACATACAGACAAGACTACATGGCAATTGACAAAAGTCATTACGACACTAGAGTGTATTAGTGGAACAATAATCCGCCTTTTTAAAGACATGCTCAGATATACCTAGGTGCACCAATTAGATATACACAGATGGAATCCATCTCCACAAGGAATCAGTTAACGTGTAACCCTTGTTTACCAAAGATAGACAAATCAGTAACAACAGGAAACCCAGTCAAAGTCAGGAAATCAAGCTTAATAAAACAGTGCAAAAGGAATGTAGTTTGATGCCTTTTCAACACATGGTTCCAAGCAGTCACACCAAGATTGAGCCCCACCAGTTTCATAACTTAGCTTCAGCCCTCACTTTGGTTTCTTTTCTTTTTTTTTTCTTTTTCTTTCCCGATACCGGAAAGAAAATTCCAATCGATGAAGCTTTCTTTTGGGAACTCTGAAAATGAGTGACTCAGCTCACTGGTAGATACTGTACTAGGAAGATACCAAAGACTTCTTTTTTCTTTGGTTTATGGAGGATAAGCTGGGATTCTAACTGAAGACCACATGGCACCAGTAGTGCCCTTATGTCATAACCACCTTTGCAAATTCAGAGCTTCAATTTTTTTTGACTGCCTACCTTTATTGTGCCAAATCTGAAATAAGAAGGGAAGTCCATAGAAACAATAAAAGCCGAATCAGAATCTGAAAATAGAACTAAAGAAGTAAAGCATAGTGAGAGGTCAAAGGCAGACAAGTGAAACAGGTAAACAAATGGAAAATTGTTACACGCGGGCTGGACCGCATTTCTACATATGCGGTCCATAAGCATAAAGCATCCATCTTAAAGATGGATGTAAATATGTGGTTCATCTAAAAATAATTGACACTAACGGTCCAAATGTTTTTTTAATAGAATTATTATTTCTAGTTTTTAAAATGTAGTTAGTTATTCATATTCATGATCTCCATGTTATAGATTACATATCCCTAAAAATTAAGTCAAAAAATCCATCTAAGAAATAGATCTATTAAGGGGGCCCGCACTTCTACATGTGCAAACCCGTATGCTAACTGACGACCTAAACAAATAGGGAATCATCATTATCATTTTAGCTTTTTTCCAATTAATTGGGGTCAGCTACATGAAGCCTAGTTCTCATCGGGATTCATGATGAGCTTTTAACAAAATTTTACGTTGGCTGCCTACCTAACACAACCATGTCCCTTTACCGGGCATGGGATGGGTCAAAGGAAAGCTCAAGGTCATCACCCTTCTTAGACCAAATAAAAGATACAACAAATTGTAGATTCTATAAAGGAAAATCCCAAAAAGAATGTGAAAATTACTTAATCCCCACCTCCAAATTATTAAGCAAATCACTACATACCTTCCCTTTTTGGAAAAAGCTTTTGCCCAATGTTTCTCTTGCAAAGTGTACTAGAGTCTCTTTTTAATTACCTATGAGGAACCAATAATTTCCCAATAATCAGGAACCAAAATTTTTTATCACGAGTCTGAGGTGATCCTTGTCTTTTAGAACTTTTTTCTTGATCCCCAAATACCACTCTCTCCCCTCAACTCTGTATTTCACATTCTGAAATGACTTCAGTGCCCTCCTTATCTCTTGTTAGGAACAATTCCTGCTTGATCTTGAAGCAATCACAATATTCTCTTGGGACACACAATTGGATGGCATAACACTGGCTTTTGCAGATGCTGTTCAAAAGCAACATCATTTATCTGGGTTTTCTACCTTTCACGGATTCGAAAGTCAAATTCTTTTAATTGCATATTGTCATTAATATAAAGCCTGTGACTTTGTGGATCTATTTGGTTTGTCTCTCTCCTTCTTCTGTTTGAATGTTGAAGAAAACCTTTAGTATGTTGTCTCGAGCAGTCATTGCTTTGCTTGTCTTCTGGCGTTTCCTCACCAGGAAGAAGGCCTACGACTTCAAGTATTGCATTCTTGGGGATGGAGTTGCAGCTGTAAGTTAAAATTTCATTTAGCAATGTAATATCAGAAAACACACATAGAGAATAAAGCCCTTCATGCATGACCATGCAATTCTATATTCATGCAAATGTTTGTTTTGCTATAGTTCTCTCTTTGTTCCTTCATTGTAATAAATTATGAGTCATTCTTACTGTTTGTTCTTTCTCAAGGTGGTTAGGATGAGTAAAATTATGATGTTATTTTTCTTTAGTGTTTAAGCTCAATTAGAAGCTACTTGTAGTTGCCAATTGCCAATTTTAATCTCTTTCAGTTCTTTCATATGTTGTTCCTTGCTTTTGTTTATTCTTTTATAATTTACTACACCATCAAAAATCTCTTAGGAAGCCAGCACCATAGTTCTCTCTCTTCTCGACAATACTCCTACGGTGAGAGGCTTGGGAGGATCTTCAGTTTCCACTCTCATATTTTAGGCGCTCGAATGTGTAAAAAACAGCTGGTCCGAATGGGACTCTGCCTAATCGGAGCGAATCAAAAAAATCCTAGAATGCCCCGAGTCTACTGTTTTTTTTGTAATTTTCACAAAATTTCTTATTAAAAAAAAATCTCCACTCTGACATGGATTTGGGACCTGGGCTCAGGATCTAAAAAGTAGGCGCATGTGTCCAACTTCTTAAATAGTGTTGACAAAACCATGCATTTATGGGGTCTGATCTTGGTGCATAAGCCCATTTCTGGGTTGCGTCACACCTGCATTGTCTATTTATAATAAATGATATAAATTACCTTTGAAAATCGACCTTTTTCCACATTTTTGTCCAAAAAACCTCATGGCTGAATAATATAGGACTAAGAAAAAAAACAAATTGTGAAATATCAAAATAACAACAGTATCAACCAAAATTAATATGGATGGTCGTATAGTGCTCAGTGAGAAAGCAAATAAAGTTTATATGCATTTCCTACGCATGCATTTGTATACATGTTGGAAAGAAAAATTAAAGAGAAAGTTTATATAATCAAACTTATAGGCACAACTCAAAAATCCTCTACAGGAGAACGTTTCAATATTGGAAAACCCTCATCTTGACATCAAGATGTATAGATAAGAAAAACGAATTTTAAAAACAAAAAATAGTGCATCTTGTAACAAGTTATTTGGACTGTCTTCTGTTTTCAAGATTTTAAAAATTTTATATATATGCTCAATTTGTTCTTTTTTTTTGAAATTTTAAATTTCATGACTAAAGGCAATTACATATTTTCAAACCCTCATAAGATTTTCGGTTCGGAACTACACCTTGAAGCAAAATATAAAGGTATGTTCTACTTCTACAGCATAATGAGGGCGCCTTATGTAAACTTCACCCGAATATTAATGCAAGAATGAGTCCCATTTCTCAGCATTAGTGTGGTCATGCAATATCCCTTGTAGCTCCCGAATTGACTAAATTGTCCTAAATTTCAATGTCATTTTTTTAGGGCTTGTATACCATGAAACTATCTATATTTGTTATAAAGAGATTACAAGTGCTACTAGCAAATGTTGGATTAGATTAACGTGGGGTGTGCCGGCAAAGTTAAAGATGTTTTTTTTTAACCTGAGTCAAGTAAATGACGCATTCACAACTACCTGATTTGAAATTTAATAAACAAAAATAATTGTAACTTCTTTGTATTAAGAGTAAATAGTGTCTTTATATATTTTTTTTATTTTTAAAGAGCAAGCAACTCATCCATCCACCCAATCACAGATACTTCTTAAACTCATACATGCCACAAACAAAGGATGAAAATGACAATCTAAAATTCTTTCCAATTGAAAAGTGAGAGTTTTTTTTTTTTGGTAATTCAGTGAAGGGAAGATAAGCTCTTATCAGTTTTTCAAACAGTTTAAGAGTAAGCTTTTTTTAAAGAGAACGCATAGAATGAAACCATTTATATATGATACAAGATGATCACAATAATCATGACCATTAGATATAGAGACCATTTATATATGATACAAGATGATCACAATAATCATGACCATTAGATATAAAATTTAGCGGCTGCAATTATTCCATTGACCAAATTCAAACTTTATTAATGAAATAATAACTGTGAAAATAGAAACCACAAAAATACTTTGAGAGAGAGTGTGCAAGAGAAGGGGGGTCATTTACAATTGAACCATCGAAGAGCGCATCTAATTCGCTTATTCAGCAATTGGTCCCTCAAATGCCTAACTTTCGCCGAATTTCGGCAATTTAACGGCAAATGTGTAACTTTCGCTGAATTTCGGCAATTTAACGGCAATTGCAGCCCCGACGCCTAGTAAAATGCCGTCATAGATGACGAAATTCTACGGTATATCTACCGAAAAGTGCAATGTAAATTACCAAAGGAATATCTGCTTTCATACTGACTATTCCTATATCTTGCCTTGTTTATTCATCTAATTCCTATTAATGCAAATGATCACCGACTTACGTTGCCGGTTTTGACCACATACACTCTCTTTCTCTCTCTAGAATATACAGTCTCTCTCTAGATCTACAAACCTCACTCTCTCTAAACCCGATTAGTGATTAGTCCACTCTCTCTAAACCCGATTAGCTATTAGTCCACTCTCTCATTGAACATTATTAATACACGCACGCATTACTCTGTCATCTTACATTTCTTACCATATTTGGACACCATTATGTCGAGTTTAGTTTATGGGAGAGAGAGTATATAAAAGGCGTTAGAGAGAGACCACACCTCTACCTCTTTCCTTTTAAAGAGAGAAAATACAATAAAAGGGGGTTAGAGAGGGAGAGAAAGCATTCGTAGCTTTTTGTTATCATTTTCAGTGCTTTTGCAATGGCCGAGACGGCTTTCGATTACATTATTGTTGGCGGAGGTGTAGCAGCTGTAAGTCCTCTGTCGATTCTCTGAATCTCTCTTTCTCTCTATATATCTTTCCCTCACTCTCTACATAGCAGTTGTATGTCCTCTGTGGATTCTCTCTCTTTCTCTCTTGATTGAGTTCCGGTATTTTTACTTGAATTTCTCCTTTCACGTTTATCATGATCTGTGGTCAATTGATTTATTCATTGGAAGCTTGGAGGAAGACGAAAATTGGGAAGTTTTTAACATGGATTGGTCATTTTTGGTTCTGTTGTTTAATTTATTGTTGAGATTCTGAGAGAGAAAGAAATTGCAGAATTTGATATTAATCATCGACACAAGTGAAAGTTTATTATGCATAGATCGTGAAGAGAAATGCTCATCTAATTTCCTTATTATTGCTTTTTTTATCGCCAACTGGAATTTAAAGAACATGATTTGGCTATGTAATTTGGCAACTATTATTTGATCCTGATTGTGTCATCAAATCTGTGAATTTCCATCTCTATTTGAGACTTTAATCTGTGTCAGGTCTGGATTGAATCCTTCTTTGTTCTAATGATCTGACATCTCTTAGTTTCCTCTACCTCACCGTTTCATTTATTTTTAGTTTGATTTTATGTAGTCTTTGCTCTTCAATATCATCTTCATCAGGGTTCCGAGGAAAGTTACTCAAAGTCCTATGCTGGCCACAAACCCTAGAAATTTTTTAAAAAAGATAGAAAAATATATAATAAAAAAAAGTACTAAAAGTAAAATAAAACCAAAAGCAACTTTAGAAAGTCCAAATCATAATAAAAGTTTATACAGAGCCTAGGCTTTAAACAATCAAATTAAAGCCTACCTTAAAACTTTCACTAGAAGACGTTGTTTTGATGCCCAAATATCATCAAATTGATCATCTCGACATCAAGATGCATGGACATGAGAAAAACATGGATTTCAAGTTTTGGAAATAGTGCATCTTGTAACGCATTTTTGGACCGTCAATTTTCAAGATTTTCAAGTTTTCATAGATCTGCTCGATCTCACTTTTTTTTTAAGCTTTAATTTTATAACTAAAGATGAAAATTTAATTTAAGGCTATCACGAAACTTTCCAGTATTGAAACCATATTTCTCGACACTATTTGAAGGTGGGCTCTAATTTGATTGTTTAGAGCCTCAGCTCTATACAAACCGCACTCTTTTCTAATTATTTGGGGTTGGCTATGCAAATCTCAGTCCACCATCCTTCTTTATTAAGGGACATAACCTCAATGAGGTCATAAGTTGCCAACTGTAGAAAGTTCAAATAAGCTTAAAAAAGAATTTAAAATAATTGTTTTATAGTTGGAGACGCTAAAATAATAGTATATCCAAAAAACAGTATATAAAATTATGGATTATGGCAAAAAACTACCACCAATCTTTGTCACAAACATGTAAATGATATACAAAATAATTATACAACATTGCCATATTTTTCACGATTTTTTGGGAACTTTTCTTTTTATATATAACCCAAGATGTACATACAAGTCGGGGCACCTCGGCCTCACTCATAGGGTAAGGCCGAGAAACTCGGCTAAGTCTTGTAACAGTGATCTTCATCATCACTTTATATGTAGCAACGTTTTGCACTACAATATTATATGGATCCTTTTCTTCTTTCTGCATTTGTTTAGTGCTTAACGAATTGATATTTGATGCCCAAAATGCAACTCTTCAATGTTGCTATGGTTCGTGTGCTTCTGCTCACTCTCTGGCTCATCATTTATTATCAAATTGAGTAACTGATTTCCACTCAGTAATATAATTCATTTGTTGTATTGGGCCTCACTAGGTCACCTTGCTTTTACAATTTGCTAAGATGCATAAAAAAAAATCCTCCGAATATTAAATTCAAATTTCTAACTTTTTGAGTAGTAACTGAAAGAAATAAGCTTCTAAATGACAATTATTGAAGAAAAAATGGTTTTAAATGAAGTATGGAGATGATGCATGTTTGCTTTTGCCTAGCCATCCTCTATTCCTTGGCCATTATAACTAAATTTGTTCAGTTTCTAGATAAAAGTCTATTGTAAGTGGATGAAGCCAGGACTTGAGTGTCTTGTCTTTCTTTTTTGCTTGGTGATCACTGTAGTATCTAATGATTTGATTCTCTAATTTTATTTGCTATATTTAATTTATTCTAGAATATAACAAAGCCCCACATCTTATTGTGCAAGCATTTAATCTAAGAATCCTAATTTATTGCTTTTTGTGATGTTCCCAGGGGTATGCGGCTAGAGAATTTGTGAAACTTGGTATTCAAGGGAAGCTAGCAATTATATCTAAAGAAGCGGTACACTTCTTTTATTTTCCTTTTTTTTTCTTTTTTTCCTTAAAGAATGTTTCTTATGAATTCTAGTTTGTGATACTATTGAAGTTGTAGCTTTAACCCATCTCTAGATAAGTGCCAGTTGATATGGGTAGTCAGGGTTCTTGTTGGTTGATTAGAGTGTTACTTCCTTGATCATACTTGCAGGTAGCACCATATGAACGTCCTGCACTTAGCAAGGCTTATCTCTTCCCTGAAGGCAAGTTATTTCCAGAATTTAAATGACATTGCATGTTACTTGATATTTTCCATTCCATATTATTAAACTGATGGCACTTCTTGTTGGTTCTGATATAAGATCTGGTGGAATTGAAATTAGCTAATTATCATAGAATGGAAACAGAATTAATTCTTTGGTTATATTCAATGAATTATAGTTTTCTTGGTCCATTGGATGATGGTATACTTTCCATTCAGTATATTGATGAATCTTTGCAGAAATCTAAGGACCATAAATCATCTCAATTAGTTGCCATTATGTCATTTACGTATGGAATTCTTCTAATGCCTTCTTCATATGATATATGTACTTCCTTTAGAGATTTATTTTTCCATATCTTATGTTTTATTTGTAGTGTGAGAAAATCGTGCATTCTTCTTGCTTTCAGGTGCTGCAAGACTTCCAGGATTTTATGTGTGTGTTGGAAGTGGAGGTGAAAGGTTACTTCCCGAGTGGTATGCTGAAAAAGGTTACTACTTCTTCAATCTTAATGCTTACTCTTCAATAGATTTTCTTTCTTCGGCATTTCTCATAATTAAGAAAAACGTGCTCTCCATTTTTTTTAGCTACAGTTTCGCTCTGTATCTACCCTCCAATATAGGCCACTATCAGCATGTACTCGTACAATATTAATTTTTATTGTCCTTATCATTGAAAATCTTTGATTGCAGGCATTGAACTCATTCTGAAAACTGAAATTGTCCGAGCAAACCTTTCTGCCAAAACCCTAAGAAGTGCAGATGGAAAGACTTTCAAATATGGTACCTTGATTATTGCAACAGGCTCTACGGTAATGCCTTGATATCATCAAATTGTTGAATTCCAACAAATTTCTTTTGTTTTCTTTTTTTTCTATACATGTAGTCCTTCCATTAAAATCATTGTTAACTGTTTCTTTTTTTCTATACATGTAGTCCTTCTGTTATAATCATTGTTATCTGAAAACCTTGCATCTTTTGGTATAAAATTCTGCTTGTGTTTTATGTTGAAAATATGGATGTGGATATTCTTGATCAACCATGTTCTGGATGATTCTTAATTTTATTTTTTTATTTTGATTTTTGTTTGAACTGGTTCTTACCTTTTCTAAGTTTTTATTCCGGTAATTGAGCAAGACTTGGGTCTTTGTTCGAGTTCAAATGCTTCAGTGATCAATTGTGTTTTATGTGATGTTTCAATTCATGTTATATCATGGGCACTGGACATATAATGCTTCAGAAAATTGGCAAATACTTGTGACCTTTCTCCTAAATGGAAGTTATTCACAAGTTGCTGACATGTTCTCTCCCCCGCCCTCAGGCATTTCTGGTTCGTCAATCTACCGATATTGTTTGAAGCTGTATATTGGCTCAATGTCAATGTTGGGATGAATGCAATATGAACTACCAACAACTAGCTGCTTCCTTGACTGAAACATAATTTCAATTTGTATTACTGCCTATAATTGGAATTACAGAAGATATTATCTTCTGAGAAAGTCATACACCTGCAGATCAAATCATCATCATCATTATGCGAACCTTATCCCAATTATTTGGGATCAGCTACAGGAATCGTGTTCCGCTATCGCGCTCTATTCATTAATATACCCTCAAGCAATGTATAAGTCACCATATCTCTTTTCACTACTACTATCCATGTCCTTATGGACCTTCCCCTTGCCCTTTTAGAGCCTTCCACTTGAACCAAATCACCCTCCTAACCGATGCAGTTCTAGGTCAAAGTTGCACATGACTAGACTACAAAGTCTACTTTCCCTCATCTTATCGCCTATTAGAGCTACCTCTAAGTTCTCTCCGATATGTACATTCTGAATTCTATTCTTTCTTGTCTTGCCACTCATCCATCTCAACATACTTATCTCAGCTACACTCATGGATATGTTGTTTCTTGACGAACCAACATTTGTCTCATAAAGCATGGTTGGCTTTAGAGCTTCATTGGTATGCGACAATCACATAAGACCCCATAAGCACATCTCCACTTCGTCCACGTAGCTCTAATTTTATGTGTGACATCTTCCTCAATCTCTCCATTCTTATAGATTATCAATTCAAGATATCGAGAATAATGTCTTTTTGGTACTTCTTGGCCATCAATCTTAACTAATTCATCATTTCTACTACTATTATTATTAAACTTGCATTTTATATATTTTGTCTTAGTTTGGCTAAATTTTAAAACCTTTAGATTATAGAGTATCCCTCCAAAGTTTTGACTTTGTGTTGACATTATCTCTAGTCTCATCAATCAAAGCTATGTCATCCACAAACAGCATGCACTACAGTACCTCATCCTGTAGATGCCTAGTTAACTCATCCATAACCAATGCAAAGAGATACAGGCTCAATGTTTACCTCATGATGTAGGCCTATTGTCACTAGAAACTCCGTTGTCTCTCCACTAAATTGCCCTCATACTAGTTAGTGCTCCCTCATACATATCTTGCACTATGTCAAAATATCCTCTAGTGACTTCTTTCTTTTTCAACACCTACCAAATTAACTCTATGTACTCTATCATATGCTTTCTCTCAATCAATAATGACCATGTTGGAGGTCTTTTCTATTCTCTCTGACCTTCTCAATCAATGGTTTAGGAATATAGCCTCAATGGTTGATCTCCCTAGCATAAATCCGAACTAGCTTTCTCATACATTCGTTTCATTTTGTAGTCGTACTTATTCGCTCTCTCCCATTCTTTATAGTGTGGCTCATAAGTTTGATCCCTCAATAGTTCGTACAACTTTGTATCTCTCCTTTGTTCTTGTAACATTTTCTTTGTTCACAAAATTATGTTTAACAGTTGTTCAACACTAGAAAATGTCAATCTCTCTTGTGCACTTCCAACCTCTATTGAGATACCATCTGGTCTTAAAGCCTTTCCTATCTTCAAATTTCACAAAGCTTCTTTCACTTCAAAAATACTAAATGTATCTATGATCTCCGATCAAATAAAATTAAAACTAATTAGTTATCAAATAAAGAAAGAAAATGATCTATTTAGATCCATAGAGCGAACTAATTGTCCAAGAAGTATCTGTCCGACAATGTTCAAGTTCTTAATTTAATTTACTGTCCAAATGTTAGTCTTACCTTCCTTAAAAGGTGGCAATAGTACACAAATCTTGTATTTGCTTCTAATATTGATTGCAAATCTTTTATTGTTCTTTAGATCATCTTCACAATCGCAATTTTTTACTTGTATAATGCATTTTGCAATTTGATTTATATTACTTTCTCCAGGTTATAAAATTATCAGATTTTGGTGTCCAAGGCGCTGATGCTAAGGGCATCTTTTATTTGAGAGAAATCGAAGATGCTGATAAACTTGTAGAAGCAATACAAAAGAGTGAGGGAAAGAAATGTGTTGTTGTTGGGGGAGGATACATAGGACTTGAGTTGGCGGCAGTGATGAAGTTGAACAAATTTGATGTGACAATGGTCTACCCTGAGCCATGGTGCAGTAAGTTTTAATTTGCCTTTCACCCCTGTGGGCCTTGTGGTATCATATTAATTATTAAATGC